GTGTGTGTAGCAAAATCCAGCAACTGATCATCATTGCTCTTAAAACAGATTGTTTTCAAAAGAGTCAGGAATTAATTTGGTGACCTCATTCTATGGAATTTCCGGTTTGGTAAGGATGACCTTGTGGGTGTTGTTTTACTGAGAATGGTGGAAATGTCAGGGAATGGATTCTCCACTGAGGTCAAGGATGACAGATAGATTGGCTGACACTACTGTGTGGGAACAAAATGCCGTCTAGTTAGCAGCATCATCTCTCTAAGCAAAGATGGAAATCACAGTCTTTTGTGTGTCATTCCTCACCCAACAATGATCTTTGGGCTCCCAACTTAAAAGTGTAGAGAATAACTACATTTTGACAAAAATTTAAAAACAAAATTCTAGAGCTGAAAAAAAAAAAAGTCTTGCCCACTGGCAAGTTCTAGAATAAAAAAATATTATTTTTCCTACATTAAAGCAAATGCATTTGACTTGCATTACATTTTGCACACAATGAAAATCCAACTAACCAATTTTAACATTTTCTTTTTTAATTTTTGGTGGTACTGGACATTGAACCAGGAGTACTCTGGCACTGAGCCACGCCCCGGCTCTTTTCATCTTTGAGATGGAGCCTCCCGAGTTGTTCAGGGTGGCCTTGAATTTGCAATCCTCTGCCTTAGCCTCCCAGGCAGCTGGAATTATAGGCAAGCACCACAGTGCCTGGCTATGGCACAGACTTTCAAATAAAGGAATGGAAACTCTTCAAATCAAAATCTGGACCAGAATAACAGCAGGCTACCAGTAAAAGTCTGATCTTTACATGAAAATATATCTCAAACTGAATTTTCTGTTTCCTTTGACTCACTTTAAAAGCAATTCTAGGGTTAGGGATGTAGTTCAGTGGTGCACGGCCTGATTCTGGGTTCAATCCCCAGCACCACAAAGAAAAAAGGAAAAAAAAAAAAAAACCAATCAATTCTAGTAGCTTTAATAATCTTCCAGTCTTTAAATTCTGTTGGGCAATGTTTTGTTTTTTTACCCTAAAATAGATTTTTAAAAAGTGACTTTGTGCGAAGCTTCAAATCTTAAATTCTTTTAGTGATAGCTAAAGCAAGAGACACTAAAACACTGCCAAATCCCACTCTAAAAATAGTACCTGCGTTTTCGTCTGGCGTTTGACAAATGATGCCTACATATGCCATACCAAATACAATGATAAGCTGGCAGACTTCAAGGGCAACAAAACCATTCTGAACACCAAAAACACGCTTGCTCTTAGATCTCACACCTGACGAATGCAGCAATGAAGTGTGGGTAAGATACTGAAAGTGAAGGGGATTTCATTAGGCTTATTTTTTCCTGTAACATTTACTCTTTGGCCACAAGACCCTAAACACAATTTCACAGGACAGATCATGCACAGCTTGCAAGTCAAACTTTTTACAGCTACTGTCTAACTACTATTTTTGGACAATAGATTCACATGCAGCTAATGGTCCCAGAAAAAGGGGCTTAATAAAACACTCTTTAAGCTTCACTGATGATTCCTTGGTCCAAAATATCTAATAACCCCAAAGGGCAACCAATGAGTTCTCACTGTTATACTTGGGATCACACACTTCTTAAGCCCAGAAAGGATTTTGTTTTTATTTTTCTGCCAAATGCTTGTTACTAGCCCACAAATTCTCTCTAGTCTGTTAGGAACACCTTGATGCCATGAGCCAATATGGTAGCCACTAGTCACATGGGGCTCTACTTTAAATTGTTTAAAATTAAATAAAATTTAAAGATATGTTCTTTAGTCGTATTATCCCCATTTGAATTGTCTAACAGTCATTGTGGAGAGTGGCTATTTTACTGGACAGCACCCATTATGGAACATTTCCATCATTCCAGAATGTTCCATGGAATGGCACTGATCTAGAAAACTGTAAGGGCTACACCAGTGCACAGCTGAAACTCCAAGAGGCCACTCTGTAAGCCACGCACAATATTAAACTTACTTTTTGAAAGAAAGTACCTTAAAGCCTTCTGATCAAAAAATGTGATTGGAACTCAGAACCAATTTGCCTTTGCATCAAAATTTGTGCCCCAAGTCATTATACAAAATTTTTTCAAAGACAATGCTTTTTGGTGGCATACTTAGCTCTACTAAACATATTAAAGCATTCTCTTGCTTATGTCAAGATCATTAATAAAGATGAAAATACATGCTGCTTATAGTTTTACTATTTACACAACATTCATTGTTCTTTACACATAGGGGTGGACCAATGTTCTGCAATTTAAAAAATTCAGATAATATGGTCAGATAGTTTCTTTTAAATGTCTATCCTCTTCCCTAACCCTAACCTTTTTTTGTTTTCCAGAGAGGTAGCTAACTAAAATGAAGAAACAAACTATAAACCAACACTTTTAAAGCAGTAGTTGAGATAATAAAGGGTCTCCATCTGCCCCGACTAGAAGCTCAGCCAGATAGACACGGCGATGGATCTAGAAAGAAGCAAGAGGGACAGCAATGCACAGTTCTTATTCCCCTTTGCTGCAGAATTACAAGTCTCCACACTCCTCTCTGAGCCGCCCTGGGCTCATCTACAACATGAAACCATTGTAGGCTGTTTTCAGCTCTTCCTGGGCTTTCCAGTTGTGATATTTCACTGGTATGCAACTATGAATTCTGGCCTCTGTGTCCTGGGCTTTTGTCACAAGGGGTGTATAAGTTGTTAGTGTTGTGGGTAAATTCCAGAAGAGACCAGAGTAATGGCTTGCCAGATAACATCAAAACATCATTAAGCCTGGAAAAATTCTATCTGGCAGGCTAAGACATCTCTTTGCCTTTCTCCTCCCTGTCCCCCACTTATGAGCGCGCGCACACATGCACACACACACACACACACACACACACACACACACACACTCAAAAGCACATCCTAATAAGGAGGTGTGCAACCTGCAAGCAGAATCCATTTAAACAATTTAAATAATGTTCTACCTACATCAGTAAGATTTACACACAAAAAATTCTGATTTAGGTGATTATTGTTAAGTTTTAAGGTCAAGAATCTACCAGAGAGCTGATTAATTTTGCACTGCTTAATTGCAGTTCTAGCACAGGATTGTTTGTAAGTAAAAGTTCTGTGGACATTTTTACTTTACAGCTTTGCACTAAGAAACACAGGACACTATCACCACACACATTAGTGTCTATATATAACCTACTAAACAAGTAGAACTCTATCACTTACTACACTACAGGTCAGTCATTTCATACTGTACATAAATGTATGCAGATATCGCTCAAAAAATTAATTTGAATATGACATGGCTTAAAATTACAAAGGTAAAGTCCATTTTAAATGCAGCATTTTAAACGCAACATTTCTGTCATTTTTTTTCCTCCAAGAGAAATGGAAATTAGGTCAGACATGCATTACAGCAGCCTGAGAGTTTGAGAAATTGACACTAACCCAACAGCATTTTATGTTATGTAATAGAGGATAATATTCAGCTAATATGATACCTAAATTATTAATACAAAATAAATCCTAGATTATTTGTTGTATAATGCCCAATAGCTTGTACAATAAAATGGCATTTTAACCTAATTTCTAGTTTGAGCTTTCAAATACATTTTCTAAAGGTCTTATGACAAATTTGAAAGATCTGAAAAGACCAGAGTTCCTATTTTTATATTGAATTCTCATGCCAATTAGGTATTAGCTTTGTATTCTAGTTATAAATTTTTGTTTTATTTCACATGAACTCCATCACTTTAGTATGCATATTTTGTGCTGCTTCAAGATAATAGTTAGCATATAAATAAATAAAGTTGTCTTGATCTTACAGGGCTACTTTCTAGCCTTCCTTTTTGGAACCAGTCATTGCTTTTCTGTCCCTATTTCTCCCCACTCCTACCCTTCCCATCATTTTCCGGGAGTCATTTATACCTAAAAACATATATTTGAGTGGAGTTCTTGACACATACCACCACTTGCTTCCTGAATTCCATAAAAGGAATTACAAGAGAACTATAATGTTTACATGCACACAAACCCAGAGATGAGAATTTATTATTTAATCCAGCAGTTCTTTCTTTAAGAACATTTATAAACCATTACACATTTAAGAACACTTACATTAGGAATGTGAATAGTAAGTCTTCCTTGCCATTTCTCTCAATAAAAACATATTTTGAAATACAGAAGATTTTCTTGCTTACACCAACAAGAGGAAACTGGAATTCAAAAAGGTCTAATGCTCAAGGAACAGCATCTTTCAAAAAAATAATTGTGGACTGCCTTTTGAAATGCCCATCAATTTTGCCATTGCTAACAACAAGTGTGGCTTTTATAATACTCCAGAACTAGGAGAAAAGTCAAACTTTCGTTACTCTCCATTTGTGCCTTAAAAAATACAGGACTTAAACACAGAGCAGAGGGGTGAGTATTGGGGTGTCGCATAGGGGACGTCTCATTGGGAGGATCGAGGTGCCCACCGTTTCAGATACTTGACTTCTTCATGCCCACGAGGTCTTAATCCTGGGGTTCTTCTGAGAAGACTCAAAAACCTGAGGTAAATCAAATCACACACACACATATACACACAAGTACACAATATTTACATTTTAAATTCTTATTTTGTGAGATGGCTTGAGAAAAACTGGCATACGGGTTTCCTGCGGAATTAGGCATTTCTCCTTATATTCTTGGCTTATTGCTTCCCTGTCGGGCTTCCAGCTTAATAAACACGTAGCAAGCTCTAATCACCAGTGAAGAAAAATGAAGGTACCTGACAAAACACAACACACTGGAGACACTTGTTCAAATATTTTCTCAAAAAAAAAAAAAAACAAAACACGACTGTCCATTTCACTTATTTTGATTTGGGGTTCCATTCAAAATATATATATATATAAAATCTTAGCAACTAAATGAAGACTGGGTTCCATTAAAAAAAAAAAACAAAGAAGCCTGCAGTGTATGTCTTCACTGAATTATTTTTTACATGGATTCAAGGTTTAATTCTACTTGTATACACAGCATCTTTATTTTCATCTACCGCATTTAGAGATCACATGGTATGCACATGTAGAGTTTAAGGTCTAAGGAGAGTATGTCTATCTCATAACATGATCTTGAAAACTCATAAGTCACAGCCCGTTTAGTTCATGATTATGAGGATGCATGCAATCATCTTCAAAGCCCTTGCCATCCACACTCAGAACAATTCACCTGGCATCTTGTAGAGACGTCACCTTCCTCCCTAGGCATCTGTCTTCAGGTGAATCAAGTGGCCACCCAGAGGCCAGCGCTCAGCACCAAATGGTCAGTGTCGCCCCCCCCCCCATCATCTCGCTGGGATCCCGTCACCAACACCTACTCAACCCCTAAGTTGGCACCCACAAGAGCCTTCCCTGCACCCCGCCTCAGCCACAGGATATCACAGTGAAGCGCTTCGAAATGCAAGACATGTTGTGGAGCACGATGCCCAGGAGGAAGACCAAGACACAGGCCACCAAGATGACAGTGCACACGCCCGACCAGGTGGAGCTTTTCGCCACGCCCCGCCTGTCCGGCTCCTCGGCCACCGCCTCCTGCGGAGCCCCGCCTTGCAGCGGCTGCTGTTCCGCAGGGATGGTCACCACCGTGACGGACTTCTGCTGGCTCCCGGGGAGCAGGCGGCAGCCCATGTCTCCGGGCAGCAGGGTGCGCTCCTTGGAGATGGGCAAGGGCAGCATGTAGCACCCATTGCTAGGAAGTTTGATGGAGACCGGGGTGTGCTCGGAGGTGTGCGGAATGGCGATGACGGCCAGGACCTCGGGGTCATCGGGCAGCTGCGACACGGAGAAGCCAGGGGGCAGCTTGGTGATGCCGCGGCACCAGGGGCACCTCACGTCCTTCTGGCTCGTCCTCATCTGCTGCAGGCACACGGAGCAGCAGGTGTGTTTGCATTCCAGCAGCTTGGGCCTCCGCCGGGGGCTGTAGTAGTTGAAGCAGATCTGACATTCCAGCAGCGAATCCTGGGACAGCGTCTCCATGGCGGACCGCGAGCAGCAGGGGCAGCGCCAAGACCCAGGGCAAGGAGCCGGTACTCGGAGGCCTCCACTCTGCCTTTCCAGTGCCGCCCAGGGAGCTCACAGGCATCTAGCATTCGTGGGCGTGTTCATTTCTGAGGGAGATAAACAAGGCAAACGAATTAATTCATTCAATAAGTTGTCCATAGAGTTAGAAGATTTACACCTCAGCCCTGAGGTCTTGATCCTGGGTCAAACGCATAAAATGTCCCCACAGGTGAGACCATAGGATTCCTGTAGTGCTCAGTGGAAGGTGATGGAGTGCTCTCAGGCAGCGAGTCACAACAAATACACCCATTCCCAAAGAAATGCACCTTGGACAGGTGTAGACCACGCACGCACTCTTATTTCACAAAGGAGGAATCTGTTTTTCCATTTTGTGCATTTCAGCACAGCGTAGGTCATTCTAAATGACATTGGAGAAACTCTAGCTTCTGGTGTGTTGATAGCATTTTCTAGAAGTAAACTTCTTTGTTTAGATCCTCCAACCTTCTTTTTCTGCCTCTACTTACCCTGCTGTAAGTATTAACTGCCAGTCAGGTAACTTCACAAATCTAGGTGCTCCGCAAACCTAGCTGGCTTACCTAGGGAGGACAGTTTCTTTCACGCAGGTAATTAAAATGACGCCAAGGGCTGAAGCACAAAAATGCACTTTTTCATTTTCATCTTTTCCAGAGATGAGATCAATTGGTTTTAAGACACAAAAAGAGAACAAAACACAAAACAACAGAACTAGGGCAGCAGTGACCCTGAAGGCAGTGGGGGTCACAAAGGCACTCTAATTCCAAAGTAGCACTAATATTTTCCAATCAATTCTTCTAATGTAGGTGTTTAGGCCTGCACCAAGAAACAGGATTAAAAGCCAATGCTTTTTTTTTTTTTTCTTTTTAAAGCAGTGCTGAGGGTCAAATTTAGGGCCTTATGCATGCTAAGCCAGTGATCTACTATTTGGCTACACCCCTAACCCCTAAAAGCAATACTATCCAGCTAGTTGGGAAGTTGAGGCTGGAGAATGGCAAGTTCAAGGCCAGCCTGGACAACTTAGCAAGACCTTGTCTCACAATATAAAATAAAAAGGGATGGAATGCATGGAATGTAGCTCAGTGATAGAACACCCAGTACTGCCCAAAACAAAACAACATGGTGCTATAAAAGAGCTGGAGGAATTGGAGGAATCAGGGATTTCTGAGTGGAAAACCTGGATTATAGATAAGAGTCAGACATGTAAAATCAAAGACAGGCTATTTTCAGGTTAAGAAATCAGCATGAGCAAAGGAAAGAATGTCAGCAACTATAAAATTATTTCTCTTTTCTAGGTGTGACATTGGCTAGGGGATATTTTCTAATCTGAGAATCACTTACAGATGTTCTCTAAGAGTTTTATAGCTTTAGCTCTTCCATCTTTGACAGATGCCTTTGAAAGAAAGTTCTCAGAGAGCCTATGTATAGTCTTCCCTAGACCCAGCCAAATAGCAGACCTTCCAGGGAAAGGTGAATGAGCTAATCAGGTATGTCTATACCTCTCCCCACAGACTGGGGACCATAGCCAGACTCAAAGGCCAGGCCAAAGATTTGGGAGTTTATAGTGGGCAATGGGAAAACACCAGAAAGATAAAGAATAGGAGAACAATCCATTCAAGGCAGAGGCTACTCTGTGTTAGAGGTTAGTAGGATGAGGTGGTGGAAAGTGAGAAGAGGCTTAGGAGGGGTCAGGCAGTGCCCTGCTGTTAAGGTCACGGGGGAAATAAGTCGAGGTACAGTCTTGACAGGATCATGGTGTCACTGAAAGAATCAGATCATGCAAGAAGGGAGCAGAATCAAGGAACACTTTTTTAAATCTTTTAAAATAGAGGAACTGAGGCAAAGAGGGGCAGAGGAGGCAAGAGAAGGTGCTCAAAGCTGAATGGCTTGGTCTGGTCTGGTCTTTGCAGTCCAGCAGGGTGACCTCTAGCCATAGGTGCAAGAGGAAATCTGCACAGAGAGCTTAGGAAGGAGGATGTGTAGGATGGCTGCAGTAGGAAATGTAAATGGAAGTAGAGATCCCATGTGTGCATAGGATACCTCTAACTTTATACCCACTAAAATGCTGTTAACCTTGCTCTTATCTCTCCTTAGTGTTAAAGTCTACAGACGGGGATCCGGCCATAACATCACAGATGAGATGGGAAATGGGTATGTGGAGAAGAATTGATCACTTTGAACTAGGGAGGAAGAAACAACAAAACTGGAGGGCTTTGGTCTCTGGCACATCCTAACTCTGGCACCAACGCAAGTCACCCCACTCATCCGAACCTGCTTCCTCACTGGCCAACCAGGGATGATGGAATCATGGCTGAAGGTCAAGTGACTTCACCTACCATTTGCACAGTGGGCTGTGTGCTTTGCCCAGAGGTGATTCCTGGTCATGTAAGAGCTGCCGTTTTGAACAGCTCAGAGGAGGAAGGCAAGTGTTCCTCTTGGCTCTGCTCCAAGACCTGCCATACCATCATTCTTCCACAAAACCAATGTGTAATTTTATTCATGAATTTACCCTCAAAGTAATGTTCACTTAATTCGTGTTAAGCTCATTTAAAATTAGATTCTACCACTCAATTTCCAACTCTATCCCAGTATGTTCTAGGCCTTATGGTGCAGGCTGAACACAAAAGCAGAATGGGAAACACAGTTCCTATTTTCGATGTTCGGCCACATAAAGCCACTTTGACAGCAGCCTCTGATTTATACACTGATGTGTTCTATATTAAGCAGCCTGAATTGCATTCCAGTTTATTTTCTGGAGCATAATTAGTAGTGATGATGATTAGTTAGGTAAAGAGAAGGAAATTTATGAGGCTATGGCCTGAAGGAAATGATGAATCACTCTTTCTCCTCTTTCATCACAGCCTCGAAAGACGCAAGTCAACAACTGAAGGAGGGGAGTGGAAACAAGGCCACCGAGGCCGGGGAAGAAATCCAGAGTTCTTTGTCAAGTGTGTTAGACATAAGCCCCTCCTGGAGACTGCCTTAGGAACCCGTGCTTGGTGTCGCTTTTCCCCAAGAGCAAAATGGGATATTCAAATAAAATTCTCATTAAATTTTAAAAGGAAAGAGTACTTTGATAGAATGTTGATGTATAGGCCAAAATATTGGAACAACTGGAACAAGTTTTAAATGTCACTTCGATTTATTTTTCAAAAGACCCTAAAGGAAAGATCAAAGGGAAAAATAGTCCCAAAAAATGAGGAACAGTGGCTAAGGAAGGGCATTTCAAAAAAAAAAAAAGTTACAGCTTACAAGGTAGAACTTATTTCCAAACATCTTCATAAAACACTATTTAGTTACACAAATATTATCAATTACACAGCCCGTGGGTGAGCTGAAGGGTGTGTGTGCTGCCATTGTTTTGGGATCGTGGATATTTGGTGCGTTGGCCACTTTACAACATCAACATGTTTTTATAAAATGAAATTTCTTTTTCTGATCTATAAAACTATATGCATCTTTATAAAGTGTGGGTGTGGTAAAGTGCTTCTGTGAATTTAGTGGGTGGTAAAATAACAAAGGTCTCCAACAATGAATTTTTATGGTACCAGTTGCTTTCAGAAGTGCAGACTTAGGAGCCTGCAGATAAAAAGGTGATGAAAGAAACAATCCAAATAGGCTTATTCTGCTTGTACTCTTAAGAATCTTCCTACATTTCTTAACCATGGGATTAATTATGAGGCCTACTCGTGGAGCATGATCTGATATCGATTCCATCTGGTGACATTGGGTGGTTCCATCAGATGGTCTATGCAAGAACCTTAAACTTAATGGTTGTGTTCAAAGTTAAGAGATTATACTCAGCACTTGCTTTTCTTTTTCTATTGAAATAGGGTGACTTGTTGATATAGGCCACTGCTTAATTCTTAAAGAAAATATAAATATTTGAAGTGACATTAAAGAAAACAACTATAATTCCATTTCATCTGGAATGTCAGCTGGTAAGACCACTGAGCTACACTGGATCTCACCAAAACTCCAATAAGTGGCAAGAATGAAGATGGCTTGGTGACAGGTGTGTCACCGACTTTGGGTTCTCTGGTAGCGAGAGCAGTCCTTCTGAACATAACTGTCACGTCTGTGCATTGCAAACTTGGTGCAACTGCTGTCCTTGCTCTAATGGAGCCAGACAGTGGGTGCCTGGATGCCGACAAATCACAACCGAGAATCCCACTGGCCCAAGCTCCAGTCTTTGTACTGTTTCCTCCTGTGAGCATTCTGGATTGCTGTATTTGATGAAGCCAAAAATATGGAAAGTGAAAAGAGTCATTTAAATGTCTTGGATGTTAACAAATGAGGAAGATGTCTGGCCTTGGTAGTAGAGCAGGCAGGATGGGACAGAGAGTAAACTTTGAACAAGAAGAAAGTAAGTGGTTGAACTGGACAGAGAGTAAGTGGTTGAACAGGAAGAAAGCAAGAGACCAGCTACAATGACAAGGTCACTTCAGGGACTCAGCACACAACCAAAGACCTGGCCCAGCCTGGTGACCATCCCTGCCTGTAGGTGCCACAGAGCCAAGGGCATTGTGCCAAAGGGCACACCATGGTGCTTGCCAAATCTGTCACTGAGAAACCTACCTACCAAGCAGCCACAGTCACCAGAGAGATGTTCCTTACTCAGCTTTAGGCATATTTCACTAAAGTTAGCAAAAGATGGATATATTTGACACAAGTTTGATGTTGCATATTGAAAATCAAAGTATATTGGAATTGAGACAGTTTTAGGAATTTTAACTATATTTCAGTATTATAATAAGAGATGATAACCACCGGGTTTGTTTGTTGAACAACCAATATTATTAGAAACAGGAGATAAGAATAACTCTCAAATAGACAGGTTACCATAAGCAAACTGAGTCTGGACTAGATGGTCTCCCATAAAGTACCGTCTAGTAAAAATACCGCATGATACACTGCCAGGTTTCCAACTGCATGACAGCACTGCTTGGCTGCTTGTTCTATGCTTCTTACACCTGATGGATAATTTACAATATTTTCTATTAATGACCTTGCAAGCATGTGTGTCTACATGAGCTGGAGATTGCACATCTAAACCATTTAAATGGGAGCCAGTTTGCATTAGAAACTTCCTCCTTTATGTCTTTGGTTTAATGAATGCATCTAGCTAGAGCTAACTCACAGAAACAGTCACAGCTTCGATTTTCAGAAACAATAAAAGCGATGTCATGTCTAATCGATGCCCTTCCTGGATCAAGCAAGATGGCCCTATCACCCAAACTTGTTACCAGATGTGGGTGGTCCCACTCTTCCTTCCAAAGATACTCAGTGGCACTGGGCTCATGCAGGAGGCCAAGGTCACTCTGGCAGCCACCAGTCACACTGCTTTACCTTCACTTGCTCTGTCATCCAGCCATGGCCAAGAAAAAGTTGCTGATGGTCATGAAGTAAGGAAGAGCTATAAAAGACTGTCAAAGGATCCGAGGTTCTCCGGAGAGAGGGAATGATAAAAGATGCCTCAGACAGAGCAAATGAAAAATAGCCAGCACCCTGACTGCTAGAATCCTGAGCGGAGTTGGAGTGACAGACAAATCAGGCACCCTGGAAAGCCAAAAAGATGGAATACAAAAACCACAAGTCTTACCGATAGTCGATGGTTGATGGTCGATGATCGGACACCAACTAAGGTAAAACACGTAGAGGTAGGGACACAAATATTTACTGGGAACCCACCATGTGCCAAGCATTAGTCAAGACACTGGGGATGCTGTGGCAAACCAGAGTCCCTGCCCTCAATCAGCCTGGACATACATCCTGGAGGGAAGAATTCTATCAAAAGATCCACAGGAAAGAGGTAAGGGTAGGCAAAGCCATGACCAGAGACTCTCCTTCAACTGATCATGTGCATACAATGGTCACATAAAGGGATTGGCCAGAACCACTAAGCAAAGAACTACCACTGCCTGTCAGAGCCAGAAAGGACCCTGGACCCCAAGGAGCCACAGCCACAGAGCCACTGGAGAGCCAAGTTGGAGGGAAGGACATTGGCATTTCCTCTATTTGGTCAGCATCACTGCTGATGTGATCAGCATCACTCCAGGTTGCAAGGCTGCTCCAAGCCCACGGACCCAAGGATGCAGGAGTTTGGGGTACACGTCAAGGCAAGGCGTGAGGACAGCCCAAGTCCCAGGATGCACGTTAAGCCATCGATGGAGGCTAAGTCCATGACAAGGGCTGCAAGACCTCCTGGGGCAAGCCTCTCTCTGCTGCCCACCTTGGTGGCCCCTACTCTTCATGAGAGGATATGGGACCTCCAAAGGCCACAAACCTCCTGTATGTAAATTTATACTTTATGTATAAAGTAAACCACCCATGTGCATTCCCAACTCCTGGGTTTTTTTTTCCAACTATAAATTCCAGAAAAAATGGAAACCTTGTCATTTTTTTTTTTAACAATTTCCTCATTGTATTGAGGGAACAATGGATATGCTAGCATGCTGTGCTCTAAGTTCCAATGTTCAGAAGGTTAGGTGTGTGAAAGGTGTTTTCATCTTATGGTGGATTTATTGGAACACAGTCCACTGTAAGCCAAGGAGCCTGCATACTCAACTGTGCCAAAATGAGAAAGCAAGTCACAGGTGATGTCCAGGGACCAGAAGGGCTGGCTGTGTTCTGCAGAGTCGCTCAGAACTCAGAGCTGGGGTGAAGATTAAGCTGAAGGCACTTGAGAGTCAATAGATGTGGAAAGAAGCCTTGTTGGAGTTTCCCTTGTCTGACTAACAGCTGAAACTTCTGAGAAATCAGGCTGCCATAAATTCCCACTGCAGGGCAAGTCTACCCCCAGGAGATAGATCAAGGGTAAACATGCTATAAATCCCTCTGGGGGAGTTTCATGCCCAGGAAGAAGACAGCACAGCCACACATTATCACACACACGCTTATCTCTCATTTGTGCACCTAGAAACCCATCTGTCTTTCCTAAATATATCTAATTGTCCTCCCCTACAAGCCTTTTCTCTCTCTTTCCTTTTCCCTACTAAACTAGATATTTAATTCCCCTGTCCCAGACAATCCTTTGAGTTTCTCATGACTGAGCACATGTTGTATGCCTAAATAAACATTTTCTTGTACAATATGTTTTTTTAATCATTTGAATTCACAAGCCCCAGACACTAAACCTAAGACTGTATAAGAACTTTTTTTCTTTCCTCCCTGCAATTCCAATAGAACTATGTTTACAAAAACAGATCCTAGATCTAACATCATTTCCCACTCATCCTTCCCCTGTTCCTTAGATTCAGTATATTACTCTGGACATATCTACCCCCAAATCAATTCATTCTAACAATAGTTACCTGAGTTTCATGACAAACTACAAAACCCAGAGAATTCTCATAATTATTTTGCATTCTATTTTGGGGATAACAAAACTTTACAAATGCAACATTTTTTTAAGAGACCATTTCCAGAAAATAGGAAAGACAGCTGAGCAAAGAACATTAACATTGACCATCATTCTCCTGTCCCACTGTATTGAGTCTTCCAGAAACAGTACCAATAGGATATGTGGACAGATCTATGAGAGGGAAGTTATTAGGGAATTGGTTCTTGACATTCTGGTGGCTGAGAAGTCCCACGACAGGCCACCTGCAGGCTAGAGGCCCTGGGATGCTGGTAGCATGGCTCAATGTAAGTCCTAGGGCCTGAGAACCCAGGTTGTTGGTGATGTAAGTCCTACGGTCCAAAGGCCAGGGAGCCTGGACTTCTGATGAGTCAGGCTGGAGAAGAGTGTGTTCCAGAGCCGGAGAGTGGGAGGGGGTGGGAACAATTCACCTGCCTGCGTTCTATCTGGGCTCCTGGCCGAAAGGATGATGCCCGCTTCACTGAGGGCAGGCTGCCCCACTACTCCACAGACTCCTGCTATCCTCCTTTGGAAATGCCCTGAGACACACCTAAAATAACGCTTACCAAATGTCTACATATTCCTTAACCCAGTCAAGTTGACATCTAAAATCAACCACCACACCCACCAACAGCAAAAACTAATACCATTAGTGAGAAAACAGACACAATTGCAAACTTCATATTTAGAAATGCAAATTTATTACTTGAACAAAATGGGGAATAATAGAAAAGTCATTATGATAGCTTCAGATTAAAAGGCAACTCCCCATGTGATGGAATTTCACAAAGACATGACAAATTCCTCCACAGGCGGACACAATTCCTGGTCCCTTTGCAGTTTTGGTACTCTGCAGCCATCATGTAGCTGAACAAATCTAGATTCGTCCAGGTTCATCTCAGCTCTACACAGCAGTATCTTATGTGGGTCCACCTTTACCATCTTCCCTAATAACTTACCTCTCATGTATCTGTGTCTGCATCTCTGGAGAACTCCATGACATGGACTGTCCCTGAAAGCTCGTGTGTTAAAGGCTTCATTGCCAATAGAGCCATGTTCAGAGGTGGGGACTTGGGGAAGCAATTGGATTATGAGGACTGACCTCATGGGGGGTTAATCCACTGAGGAATTCACAGCTAAATGGATTATTGGGAAGTGATGGAAACTATAGGAGGTGGAACAGGTTGGAGGAAGCAGGACCTTGGGGGCATGCTCTTGGGGACTATATCTTGTCCCCGGTCCTTTCCTGCTCTTTCTTGTAATTTCCCTGCCCTCATGAAGGAAATAGCGTTGCTGTGTCCCACCCCCTCCACCATGGTGTTCTGCCCCACCACAGGCCCACAGCAAATGGGTCAAGTGACTATAGACTGAAACCACGAGCAAAGTCAATCTCTCCTCCTCTTAAGTTGAATTTCTCAGATATTTTGTCATAACAACAAAAAGCTGATGACCACAGAATAACCCAATGGGACAATGTGTAAACTCCCCAACACACTGAGCACTCCTTCAAAGTGCTAAAGAACATGTCTGATTTATGACAAGTACAGCTCCACTCATTTGAGGTACCCTAAGGTAGAAGGAGATGCAGGGAGGGAAAGTCTCAGTTCAATTAAAAAACAGCCAGGTGCAGTGCCCATGCCTGTGATCCCACTGACTCAGAGGCTGCAGAAGGATGGTTACAAGTTGGAGCCCACTGTGGGCAATTTAGTGAGACCCTGTCTCAAGATAAAATTTAAAAAAATAATAATAATAGGCTATGGATGTAGCTCAATGGCAGAGCACTTACCTAGTATACGCAAGGCCCTGGACTCAATCCCCATTACTTCAAAAATAAAACAAAACAAAACACTCCTCCCCCACACAAAAAGCAAAACCCATCCACTTAATTGTTGAGACTCATTTACTTTCACCCATTAATTGTGTGTGTGTGTGTGTGTGTGTGTGTGTGTGTGTGTGTGTTTTCCTTCATGTTAACCAAAGAACATTCTATATTAAACAGTCTAAAAGAATGACAAATTAAACACCTGGTAGGTTTTACAGATATCTCTCTAAATAAGCCTATTCAAAAGCCATTCTTAAGATTATTTTCTTTGAGTGGAGAGTGTTTATTGCTGCAATCTCCTTACCTACCCTCAATATCGGTGATTCATCGCACGAGTTAAGACTCACACTGAAGTTGCAAAGAATTCCTAAAGGCATCAGTACTAAAATTAAGCACCTCGGGGAGTCAGCTGTCAGTTCGCTCATTACTTCTGCTTTTTCTTACTTCCAGCTGCAATAACTCAATGAGGGTTGATTTTCCATTTAGGCAAAGTAAGAAGGGAAGAAAAAAGTACAAACCTCAAAACTAGACATTGAACAGTGGTGCAAACAAATGCCATCCACCATTAATTCATCTTTCCCGACAATAAATCCAAAAGATTTTCTTTTTGCTTTCATAAATGAAATTTAAGTCAACCCTTACAAAGTTTATCAACAATAAAAAATACATATTTTATGTATAGAGTTCAACGAGTTTTGACAAATACTCACCTGGAGAACCCTACACCAGTCAAGATTTTCCACCATCCCAAAACGTTCCCTGGCTAGTCCACCCATCCTTCCTGCCCTGCCCCCTGCCCCTCATGGCCACTTGTCTGTTCCACCTTTGCATTTTTTATATTTAAAACCAACCCATGGGATTGGCTTCGGGGGAAATGGTAATATTCTTGTGTACTTCTTAGGTGTCCTAGCACCACGTTTTTGGAAACAGTCAAGTTCACATTCATGTTTCCCAGAGAAAACCTAGAGTAACAAATAACTTATAGCTTACACTACAATATGATTAATAAATTCATCCAAATAGGTATATCCTTCTAGGTCTAGGGGATATAAAGAGGAAAAGACGGGGCCCTGCCTTGCTAAGTCCAGTTGGGAATACGGGCAACCAGGCCAGACACAGGGACCACCACAGCACAGAGTGACTGGGCTTCGGGCAGGAGCGGCAGGTGAACGAGGTGTGATTGGGGAGACCAAGAAAGGCTTTCCATGGAACGAGCTGCTGGTTAGCTCCAAAGAGACTCCACAGAGGAAACGGCAGAGCCCAAGGTGAGGCAGTGCAGAGCCTGTGACCTCCCGTAAGTGACTCGCATGGCTCTTTAAAAGGGTGGCTAAGACTGCCCTGTGTCAACACGGGGAAGCCCAGGGACAGCAGGTGAGGGGGATGAGGAGGCTGGTCTGCACAGCAGGACGGGGCAGCCGGAACCAGTCAGCGCAGCACAGCCTCTGCAGAAGCAGACACAGGAAGAGACGGGGTCAAGGTCGACCCTGGCCATACTGTTAAAAGCAGGACTGGACAACAGGGCCCGCCCCAAGGCCAAAAGGGCACTTGTCCTTCCCAATCTGGTCCCAAGGATACAGCAGCCTTCCCTGCAGGCTGGGATGGGGAGGTCACTAGATGCCATCAGGAGCAGAGACCAAAACAAGGCCCAAGGGAGGGCAGAGAGATTGAGAGACAGGAGAACAGGCAGAGGACAGGACAGAGCAGGAGGGATGCCACCCACAGCATTGCCCTTACCCTCCTCTTTCCCACCCCATGAAGGGAGGCTGAGAAAGGGAGAGGCTGCGGAGAGGGGGCCAGAGGCCTAAGTTCTCATCCAGGGAGAGAAGTGGGAATCTCAGGAATGGGGGAGAACAGATAGCCCCCTACCCCAACCTCCTACTTCAGAGTTTGGATTTCATCCCATGAGCAATAGGGCTTATGAAGACTTCAGAGGGGAGATGATCATCATCATCACCATCATCATCATCACCATCATCATCATCACCATCATCATCATTTTAACCAGTTTGAAGTGTACAATCCAGTGGCATTAAGCAAACTCAATGTGTTATCCTCATCACTATTTCCAGAATTTTTTTCAACCCAAACAAATGACAACCCTGTAGTCATTCAACATTAACTCCCCCTTTTCACTGCCCCCACCCTTGCTAATCTTTGTCTTTGTTCCTATGAACTGAGAATTCTAGATACCTCATAAAAGTAAAATTATATGCTATTTGTCCTTTAATTTCTATCAAATACTTGTGTGACTTATGTCACGAAGCATGTCCTTAGGGTCTGCTCCTGTTGGAACATAGATTGAAATTTCCCTCCTTTTTGACAACTCAGTAATATTTAATTGTACGTTACTTTTCTAAAGCTCCTCTGGCAGAAGGGAGAAGGAAGGGGAGAGCTGGGTAAGGCTGGAATAAAGGAACGGAGAGGGAGGAAGGGGGAAGAACAATCAAGAGGGCTTGGAAACTGGGTAGAAATAGAGAAGAGTGAAGGTGGAATGGGGAAGGATTCTTTGCTTGGCCAAACCTTAGGCAGGCTTTTGAATTTTCTCCTCAGTCCATCTGTGTAGTTCCTTGTAATATCCACTTTTAATAAAGAACTCGGCTAAGTCAGTGTAGCAAGAATCCCCCACCCGCTTTTAGTGCCGTCTTAGCAATATTCCATATTCCAATTTATGAGCACAGAGAACTTTTTCCATTTACTTGGGTCTTTTAAAATTTCATTCACTATTTTGTGGTTTTCAGTGTATAAATCTTGTACAAGTAAGTTATTCTCTTTTATGCTACAGTGAATGAAATGCTTTACTGATTTCATTTTATTTAGTCTAAGTATATAAAAATACAACTGATATTGGTACATTAATCTTGAACTTTACAACTTTGTTTTTCTATTATTCAGAAGGAGTGTAAAGATAATCTCTTTTTTAATTTTTAAATTTTTTTTTTAGTTTTTATAGTTGGACACAATGCTTTTTTTAATTTTTACGTGGTGCTGAGGATTGAACCCAGCGCCTCACACATGCAAGGTGAGTGCTCTATCACTGAGCCACAACCCCAGCCCCTTCATTTTTAATTGACATAAAATTTGTCTATACTTATTGTGTTTTCTTAAAAAGGAATACCCCACCTTTGATATGATATTTGACCGTCCTCAATATCTGAGGAGGTTCCTCATCCTCTATCACCCTTGAGGTGAGGTCTGATCACCCTGGCCTGACTTTAGCAAGAATCTAGTTAGGTGAGTTTAGCCAGTATCCTCCTTACCCTGGATGTTCCCTCTCGTGAACTGAATGACCCCCACCTGCTCCTTGGCTGTCAATCCCCACATGCCCATTAAGCCCAATCTCTCTCTCCAACTGCAAGACTCAATTGCCAGGTCCCGAATAAAGGCTTTCTGCTCTACTGTAACAAATATCAGTGAATAAAGTTTCTTTAATAAAATCTCAGATTTTCTCATTGAGACAAGTAGCTGTGTGTGTGTGTGTGTGTGTGTGTGTGAGAGAGAGAGAGAGAGAGAGAGAGAGAGAGAAAGAGAGAGAGAGAGAGAGAATGCATGCACATTCACGCTCACACACATGCACACTGTACTGGGGGCTGAACCTAGGGGCATTCTTCCACAGCCTCAGACACCCTTTCTTTTTTTTTTTTTTAATCTGAGAATTATTTTTTATTATTAGTTATTCAAAACATTACAAAGCTCTTGACATATCATATCAGATACCCTTTCTTATAAGTTGCTCTAGCTGGCCTTGAACTTAAACTTGAGATCCTCCAGTCTCGGTCTCCTGAGTAGCTGGGATTACAGGTGTGTGCCATCTCACCTGGTGAAGGAAGGTTTTTGAGAGGCAGAGCTCTGGGGGAAAAGAATGCAGAAAGGGATGATGGAGATGGCCAATATGCTCCAAATCTTGAAATTTTCTTTTTGGGGGCTCGGGGAGTATCGGGGATTGAACTCAGGGGCACTTGACCACTGAGCCACATCTCTAGTCCTATTCTGTATTTTATTTAGACAGGTCTCACTAAGTGGCTTAATACCTTGCTTTTGGTGAAGCTGGCTTTGAACTCATGATCCTCCTGCCTCAGCCTCCCAAGACATTGGGATTCTAGACATGTGCCTCTACACCTGGTCAAATCTTGAAATTTTCTAAATACCAAAGTCTTAAGTTCTCTGTGAGATTAAGACAGCTATTGGGAAACTAGTATCACTGCATCATTTATAGGGAGTTAAAAAAATGAATATTTTCATAATTTCTAGAAAAAGTGATGGCAGAGAAAGGGACTATGAATCACGCATGTAGGAAAATATAAATCAACTCAGGCACAATGCTCACCATGTGCTGTTACTACTGACACTTGAATAAAACAGACAACACTGTAGAAAATGCAATTTCTCTGATAGAAAGCAGTGATTCATTTTATTCAAAAATTTTACATGTAAACAACCTCTATTTAAAAATGTCCTACTAAACCATAAAGCTTAAGAGCTCATCATCAAATAAATAATTTATTTCCAAAACACTTTAATTATGTAAACTTTTTAGAGTATAAATATTCTCAATGTGGTGTGTATGTGGGGGGTTATAGGGTATATGTCATGCTCTATAAACATGTATACAAGCCATGTAAAATCCAATTAAGAGACAATTC